AGACCTCCCCCACCTTCCCCCCTTGCACACACATTGTGAGATAGGAAAAGAGGGGGAGATGTGGATGTTCCTTTAAGTACAGAGAACATCTTCACTGAATACCTGGCCAAGAGGCAGTGATAGAACAGAGGTTAAGAACAGAGATGGGAATAAACAGCCTGGGTTGAAATCCCATCTGTCTCATTTACTAGTGGGGTGATCTTGAGCAAGATACTTCATCTCTCTGGGCTTTGGTTTCCTCATCTATAAAAAGGGGATGATAATAGTACCCTAAATGGTTGCAGCTGCATCGGACCCTGTGTAGGCATCAGGAGGCCTACAGGTCCTGCCCTCAAAAGGCAGCAGTGTAGATTAAACATATATTTTTAAAACCAAGTAAATGTGGTCAAATGTAAAGCAAATTAAAAATGAACAATCTCTGGCAGATTGTTCTCTGCCAGGAGTGAAAAGAAAAAAAAAAATCCATTGAATGAGCCCAGACTTCATACTTTCTCTTCTTTCATTTCAGGAACTCCCCACACCCTGAGGTGTCCCTCTCCAGACTCCAGGTGGTGACCTCTAGCACTGATGTGGCCTTCCATACACCTGAGAGGGCAGTGATTAGTTTCCCTTCAGACCAATCCTTCCAGGTCATTTTAAATAAGCTAGAAAAATGCTGTCAGAATCCCACCAACAGAAACTTGAAGGCTGCAGGGCATAGGACAGAGAAGCAGATATGGGGTCAGAAGACCATGAATGCCCACTCCACTGCTCACTAGTGGGGACATCCCAGGCATGACTCCCTGCTCAGAGTATCCGTGTCTGTAAAATGGGGATAATGTTACATGCTGGGGCTGTGCTGAAGCTCGACCTGAGATAATGTAATAGGGTGACACTGTGCAAACTGTAGAGGAAGAAAAAAATAAACAGGAGGGGTGACAGCAGTCATTATTAAACACGGCCTTAGCCTTAATTGCCTGAGAAATGAGGTCAGGGCCAGACAGAGTTCCAGTACTCTCTGCCTCCTAACCTTAGGTGGGAGCAGTGGATGATGGAAACCATAATTGGTCCTGCATCCACAACTGATTGAAGATGATAATGATAATTGCCCTTTAAAAACCCCTATGTTTCAAAGCACCTGTCTGATAATACTCAAAATGAAAAAACGGCCATTCAAAGAAGAAAAAAGTGTTCAGGCTAATAGTTAAAGAAATGCAAATTAAAATAAGGCACTTTTCTTTTTTGCCTTTCATATTAATAAAAATGAAAAAACAAACCAAACTCTCACACCCACAGCTGGTGGGGATGCTCATTGGCTTTTTCTGGAAAGTAATTCAGTAAGTGATAACATATACCTTGAATTAGACTCCCTGACTCTGCAATTCTACTTTTAAACATCTATTTGAGCAGATAACTAGAATGCCTTATACACAAAGTTGCTCGCTGCAACACTATTTATAGAAAGTTTGGATATCTACTTATCCAACAAGTAGGAATTAAAAAAAATAATTTTAGTACATCCATGCAAATTTACTATATTAAAATGAGCTCTTAATGACATGGGTAACTGCATATATTTAATGTTAAATGAAGAAAGTAGGCTGTAAAATTATATATCCAAATATATCTCAGCCACATAAAGAAAAACATTTGGCACAAAACACTGCAGAGTGATCTTCCCAAATGTGAACAGCATTGGCCTCTGGGTGGTTGGATCGTGATTTCTTTGAAAATTCACCTTTTCGGTACTGTGCAGATTTAGTAAAATGAATATGCACTGCTTTGATAATCACAAAAAGTGGGAATAGAAAGAATCAATCAATGGCTTAGGACCAGCTAAAGGTGAAATGAAGGTCATTATTTCTGGGTAACCTTCTCCAACATACATAAAACTGTGTGAAACTAAGAAACCAATAAGCAGACTTGCAAACATATCACAACTTGCATACTAGAATGGGTTTATGCAGAAGTTACATGGCTTGCAGGCTGAGGGTCAATGGTGCCTTACTGAATTTTTTTTTAGGGCTGAACCAGGTTTTCAGTTAATATATATATTTTTTAATTTAAGTTAAAAACGTTCAAACTTTTTTTTGACTTTGTAAGAAATATTTTATATCGCAACCCCATTACACATAAATATGTACAACAAAAACAAATTTTACCCTTCCAACCTGCAAAGAATGTTGTTTTCTACTGTTTTTCAAAATGCTGCTCGTGAACCACTAAATTGATTCCACTACCCTCCAGCATGCTGTGGACCACAGCTAGGAAGACACTGGTGGACAAAGAAAGCTGGGCCTCCCTTCTCTCACATGTCCTGGTCTGGGTTCTCAAAGGTGTACAGAGTATTTGAGCCACAACAAGTACTCTCCTGGCCAAGACTGGGTTGTGAAAGAAAAAGGATGAATGTTAGAAAGGAAAGTGCACGCCTTCTAGCAATCAAGAAAGAGGCAGAAGCCCTTGCAGTCGAGGTCAGGCAGGTCCAGCCCAGAACAGTCAAGGCCCAGGGCATCCAAATAGCTCCTGGAAGCCATCTCAGCCTGAGGACTTCTTTGCTCTAATAACCAGCATATAGTTGCAGTGGTAACCTAAGGTGGAACAGCAGAAGATAAACTTGTTTTTGCAATATTAAATTTCTCCTAACCACGCCTTGGCTCTCCAACACACTATGATACATGGCTCTTACTTCCATAGGACTTTGGTGCTATTTACCACAGAATAACATGGCCTTTCTTTTTTCCAGTGATTAGTTTAGACCCGCTCCTTCCTCTTGCACCTATCTCTATGTGGAATTGCCTGACTTTGCAGGGTGGATGCTGCCTATGGGTGGACATGGGTGGGATTAAGTAGTCCCCATGGCTTGTTATGTCAGAAGCATCTGGGTCTCTTAGCTGGGAGCTGGTCAGCTGGGGCCTCCATGAGGAAGACCACTGTTATGGACTGAATGTTTGTGTCCCCCAAGTTCTTATGTTGAAACCCTACCCACAATGCGATAGTGATTGGGAGGTGGTTATACTTAGATGAGGTCATGGGGGTAGGGCTTCCGTGATGGGATCGGTGCCCCTATAAGAAGAAACAGGTGAGAGCTTGCTTCTCTCTGCTCTCTGCCATGTGAGGGTACATGAGAAGTTGACAGTCTGTAGCTTGGAAGGAGACCCACACCACAACTTACCATGCTGGCACCCTGTTCTTAGGCTTCCAGACTCCATAGTGTGAGAAATTTCTCTTGTTTACAAGCCACCCAGCCTATGGTACTTTGTTATGCAGCCCAAACCAACTAAGATAACTACCAACAGCTGTCACTTCTGTGTCTCTAGATGGAGCCGTTTAGTATAGGATACAGAACTGTTATAGAAATAGAGCAGGGGTTTGGGGGGTGGGGTGGGGAGATGAATTCGAGAGAAAAATGAAAAAAAGTTTCCAGTCTATATAAACTTTAAGAAAAATGTTCTCCTTTGGATCCCAGTTTCTCTAGATGTCACACTGTCCACTCCATGATGATGCCAGTTAAGTTTCCTAAGATTTTTCCAACTAGTCCAGTCTGTCTTCCTTTTGTGATCCTGGGCAAAGGAGGCCAGGGCCACCAGGGGCAGAGGGGAGGTTCCGGAAGCATTAGTAGTTACCAGCTACCAAGCCCAGACCAGGCTCTAGGGACTTCCAGCTGCTCCATGTCCTCCCACGCTTCCACGGTCCTCACTGGCTCTACATCTAGAACCTTCTCTGGCCTAAGCCTAGCTTTCCCCACCTCCATCCTCACCTTGGCTCACACATCTGGCCTCTGGAGGCCAGGAGGAGGAAGGGTCCTCAGGATCAACTGAGCCAGATTGAGGAAATGTACACAAAGTGGCCTGTGAATGATAAAGTGCTACAGGAATATTTATTTGCTGTTGGCGCTACACGTCTATACAAGTCTGTGCATATCTAGCAATATATAGAAAGAACCATAAAACCAGTCACACTCTCTGACATAACCTCGGACTGTGAAACACAGCCTGAGGAACAAAACAACAGAAGAGAAAGAAAAGAGGCAGAGATGTCCATTACAGTAGTATTTACAATGGCTAAATCCCAGACAAGGCTTACTGCGCAACAAGTGGGGCACTGTCAGGCAAAGTGTGAAAAAACAACAAATAAGCAAGTTGGAATGAGACACAAATATCCAGCTCATATTAGGGAAAAAAGCAGAAGGCAAAGGAGTGTGACTAGCCCAATGGCAATTAAACAGTTAATGTCTGCAAAGTGTGATTTGCTTTTCATGTTTTTTGCTTGCTGATTTTTCACACATGTGTGCCTTTTGGTGTGTGTGCCTGGGGGTGGGGGGAGCACTGCTAATCCTTAGCTTTAAAGCTGGTGACATGGAAATTTAACATCAGACAAAAATGCAGGATACCAACAATAACAACAGTGATTGACGTTGTTATTGGCAACAGTGCCAGGAGCTCTGCTAAGCATTTTAGTCTTGGTAACAATGCCATCATCCCGACCCTACAGACAAGGAAAGCAGGGCTCAGAGAGGTTCATGACTTGCCCAGGGAAACACAGCGAGTAAGTGGAGGTACTACAATTCAAAGGCAGGTCAGCCTGACCCCAGGGCACATCTTAACCAACGACTTTGCTTCCTTTGTGCTCTGGAGGGCAAAATCCAGCCCTGTGGATTAAAATTACTGGAGGGACTATTTTAGCTCAATCTAAGAAGAAACAACCTTTCGGGAAGAGAAAAGGAACAGGCTACACTGGGAGGCAGTGAGCACTTGGTCGTGAGAAGCATGCAAGCGGAGTCAGCCTCTGCCAGATATGCCAGACATGCAATTAGACTCCAAAGGTCCTTGGGAATACTGAGGGCCTAAGATCCTAGTGAAGCTCTCAGCTGTTTGAAACAGGAGGAAAAGAAAAAGAAAAAGAAAAAAAGATTGAGAACAATACCTTGCCTGCATTCAGTTCAGAAATTGCTGCCAGAATCTGCTGCCTGGATCCATCTGTCTTAATACCCAGCTCCTTCAAGTCACCATCGGTAAGCGTGAGGAATGCCTCCATATCCACCTGGGAAGAAAGAAGGGGGATTCGCTACCATCTGCTTGATGCCACACCTCTTTTTTCCCAACCACAACAGGAATATCATGATTATGAGCTATTAGTGCTTATTAGTAGTGAATTAATTATGACTCTTTCCAATTCCTGGCTTTACGCTAAAAGTTTAGTTGAAAGCAGCATTAAGAAGTAACTCTCCTCAGCTCTAGCCCTGGGATTTTCAGGATAGGTAGGTACACTTTGAAAAGACCCTGACAATGAAACAAGTAAGGAAAGTCTCCAAGGCAGTAATCTGAGTGGCTAGAGGGGTAAAAATCCAAGTCCTGCTATTAGAAAGTGAATTCCAGTTTTGCTACACTTTTAACAATATCGGCCACTGCACAGAAAAATGTGGGTATATGGTGGTACTCACCATGTCTCCCCCCAGAGGACAAGAGATGCAGACTGTGGAGAGACAGAGTGAAAAAATAAACAAGCAGAAGCAATAAGAAAAGAAGAGCCATGGAGAACTGAGGCAGAGAAAGGCTCTGAATAAGGGCACCTCAAAGCCATACAGCCTTTGGTTTCCACGGGAGAAATCCTAACATTTCTGTCATCCCACCCGCACCTCAGCTCCGGGAGAAATAGCTCCCACCCCATCTTTCCTTCTCTCTTTTAATAGTCACTTTAAAATCCTCGATTGAAAAAAAAAAATCTTGAACCAGGTTTGAGCCAGTGGGGAAGGATCTCCAACTCCAAGCTCTCTCCGAGATGCAGACATCCCCCACCTCTACGACAACTAGCTCCTCTGGGGCTTTACAGCTCATGAGATGCCGAGGGGCTGAACGAAAAAGTGACATGGTTTTGGCTGAAACCACCGGTTCCCTGGCCCCGCAGGACTCCCCCCATTCCCCACCACGCAGACCTGTGGCAGAGACCCCACACCCAGTCCCCATGGCCAGCTCCTCAGAAGGCACAGAACATAAAAAACAGAAGTAGGCAGCCATTAGCAAGAAAATCAGGAAAGATCTTCTTGACAAGAAAAATCACTGCTCAAGTTCAAAACGCCAAGGAGGCAGGAAAGATAGGGCAGAAAGCAAACCAAGGAAGAAAGCCACGGCACCCCAGTCTGTTTCTTGAACCAAAATACAAAAACTCCTCAATTGCATCTCAAGCTGTTTAGGGACAATGAGTGATTCCTGTGATTACTACTGTATTTATTTGAACAAAATGAAAAATTTTTAACAGCTTATTGAGATATCATTTACCAACCAAACGATTCATCCATTTAAAGTGTACAATTCGATGATTTTTAGTACAGAGTTGTGCAACCATCGCCATACTCAATTTTAGAACATTTTCATCCCTATTAGCAATCACTCCCCATTCTCTCCTCCCCATATTCCCTGGCAACCACTAATCTACTTTCTGTCTCTACAGATTTGCCTATTCTGGACACTTCATATAAATGGAATCGTAGCATATGTGGCTTTTTGCGTTTAGCTTCTTTGACTTAGCATCATGTTTTTGAGAGTCATCCATGTCGTCGCATGTGTCAGTGCGTCATTCCTTTTTTAATGCCAAGTTACATTCCATTGTATAGAGATAACACGTTTTGTTTATCCATTCATCAGCTGATGGACATTTGGGTTGTTTCCACTTTTTGGCTACTATGAATAGTGCTGCTATGAACTTCTGTGTACAGACATGTTTTTAACTCTTTTGGGTGTATACCTAGGAGTGGGATTGATGGGTCATACTGTAAATCTATGTTGATCATTTCGAGAAAATGCCAAACTGCAGAACAGTAATATTTTAAATATGTGACTGTGAGTGCTGTTAAGCAAATAGGAATACTCAGATTAATACAGACTCTACATCCAGACATTTAACACAGATTCATTAGGATTTGCTTTTGACCCACTTTAAACCTAAAAGGCTGCCAGACAAACTTTATGAGAGAGAACAGTGCTCAAAATTACAAAAATTCTATTACGACAAAAGGTCCCCAGGATTTCACTGTAATGAACTGAATTAAATGTGAACATGAATTCTATTTCTTCAGCTGTCTCAGCGAAAAAGATCAATCTAGACTAGCAGAATGAAAATCCACATATTTAGACATTTTTTTTTTACAATGATTTAAATTAACACTCAAAAAGAACATCCTTACCTCTTGCTCCTCAAAAATGGGCTGATATTTCTCAAGTGATAATTTCTTAAGGATTCCAGTCAGTTCATCTTCAAGAGGGAAAGATGTAAAAATAACACATTTTAGAACAGTAAATGTATCAAAAGAGTGATCTTCAAACTTTCATAAAGCAGTGGTAATCTCTTTTCATATGAAATACTACAAGAAAGCCCAACCCAGAAAGCACATCTAAGCTGGGTGCTTGCATGTGAAGCTGGAGGCCACACTCCTCCCCTCAGGGCAGGCCCTAGGCATCAACCAAAGGTGCATGGTGAGCTATAAAGACAGAAGACAGGGACGTTCATGGTTAGGCTGACTCTCTAACAGCTGCAGCCAAGTCCTCAGAATTCTAGATGCTGGGACTAAAGCTCTGCCTTCTGTCCTAGAACAGTTTTTAACCACGATTTCTTGACTGCTGGCCACTGCGTCTGCAGTATATGCTAATAATGCCAGCAAGTCTTCAGCTACTCAGAGAAGGAACTGAAGAGAACAGGGCTTGAAAAGAGAGTTTGGCTCAAGTGTGCAGAGACTAGGGGCTTCCCAAAGGAAGGACGCATCTCAGTAGAGCAGCAGAGCCAAAGGGGCGGAGACCAGGGGTATCAAGATATCGGAGCAGGAAGAGTAAATAAAGGAAACAAGACCAGCATCTGTGGGGCTTGAAGAAATATTTATTCACATATTCAGTAAGTATAAACACCAGACTAGGCATTAGAGACTCTACAGGGGCCAAAACAGACAATAAGCAGGTTGATAGGCCAAAGGCAGCGAAGAACACAAATGCGTGGGGCAGGCTAACAGAGCATGGGAGGATGCTGTTTTATAGAGAGTGGTCAGGGAAAGCCTCTTTTATAAGTGACATTTGAGCACTAAATGAAGGAGCGAGATGTGCAGATATCAAGGGAAAGGGTAGCAGGCAGCATCAGGCAGAGGGAACAGTAAGTGCAAAGATTCTGGGGCAGTAGGAGCAGTTCACAGAAGAGTAGACTGGAGGGTAGAAGGCCCGAGTTCCTTCTTTTATTCACTCACTGAGCAATGGCTACTAATGTGCCTACTACATGCTGGGAATGCAAGGACAGGAAGTTCCCTGCTGTGCAAGAGCTCTGTGTGGCTGGGAAGATACAATGAAGAGGGTGACAGCTGATGCACATTGCTCACCATCCAGTAACTTGTCCTGGAAGACCCATTTGCTCTTTATGGCAACTCTATGAGATAGACCCTATTACTATCTTCATTTACAGATGAGAAAGCGAGGCACAGAAAGGTTGGGCACCATATCTTGGGAGGGTCTTGTTGCTAACCCACGGCAGGGCAGGGATTCAAACCCATGGTCTGGCCACCAGGCCTGTGCTATGCATACCGCTCTGGCACTTCTCCCATTGGTGATGAGTTCTAGGGTAAAGGCCATGAACAAAGAAATCTGGGGTCAGAGAAAACAACTGACCCAGCCCAATGAATCAAGTCCCAATGCAGACAAAATCCATTGTAGCTTCACGACACCAAACCTTCATGACATCAAACCTTTCCCTCCACATGCAGTCTCTCTCCACAGTGGTGTGCTAGTAAATGTTTAACAATTGGATCTCGGGGGGAAATGTATGCACCTATGTAGGTACATAAGTTTACTGCAGATTTTACTGATTTAAATATGTAACATACAACTTACATATAATAATAAATTATACAATACTCTATTATAAATTTCGTGTAGCCAATATCTTCATTGCATTTCAGGCATTTCACTGAATTCTTTCACTGATTTTTGCCTTACTCCTATACCCATAGCTACGAGTGCAGTTCCAACGCGAAGGCTAGCTGATAGCTCCGTTTACGTGAACACGTAAGATGAAATGAAACAACGAAGACGTACACTAAAACTTCATGCGAGCAAATGTGCTGAATCAGAAAACGATTTCGAATCCTAGATGAATATTTTCTCAATTTTTGTGCTATTCACAATATAACAGCTACAGACATGACACTTTTACATTTAACTTGCATAAATAACATTCTCTTCATTGCTGTCTAGATTATGTCTAGATGATCTATAAAACAATAACTCAAGTCCTGACTGCTGCTGTTCACTGATTTCCATGGTATAAATATCATCCCCCCCGCATCATAGCTGATTTCAACCTACCAATGTAACGTTCCTGAACGTGGAATTGGGAAGAGATGCATAGAAGTAATACATCATTACATAATATTCTTACCATACAGATAAAAGGAGATATAAATGATCTCAAGAGCACAGATATTAGTAAAATGCACTTAAAATCAGCAAATAATAATTTTGCTTTAAATACTACATGCCTTTATATTTAATATAAGTTCATGTAATTTTTTTTTGTTTTTCCTTTTTTGTCTATTTTTAATATTTTATTGTTGTAATTTGACTTTTAACAGCTGTTTAACCACCAGCTTATATATTTCCTATAGATGTAATAATCAGCTCTGGCCCGCCACTGCTCCATCTCTCCTCGGCCCTCGTGGCCCAGCCCAAATGCCCACTCTTCAGTGACGCCTGCCATGGCACTCTGTACTTTGCTGATCACATAGGTCTCATCCCACCTGGGGTTACACTCATTTAATGTGATTATGTTGAATGTATCTAACTCCCCAGGCTGACTGTGAGTTATCCTAATGCCCAGCACAGGTTACAATACCCAGTGCTTGCCCTAGAAGCCTTCATGGAGAGAATGAGAGGCTGAGAAGGTGACAGGCCTCATGCATGCAGTCCTCAATTGGGGCCACACATTTCCCACAAAAATACCATAAAGAATAACTGTTTGGGGATGGACTACAGCCTCTGTCCTGTGACAATCTAATGTCCAAATGACAAGGGTCCCACTGCCTCAGGACCCAGAAATTTCAGAAGGGAAAACTAGGCTTTCTAAGCAAAAGAAATTAATCTAAAAAGAAATTGTTGTCAGGTTCTCCTCTGTTTTCATCCCAACTAGGGCTCTATAAACTTTTTAAAATAATGAATGTGTCAAAAAAAAGAGTGGGGTACAAATACCTAACTGAACCGTAGGGGTTTTGATTCCTAAAAGCCTCTGAGGAGGGAGAATTCATGAATGGAAAGTTGAGACTTGACATAGAAAACACGGTTAGGGAGGAATAGGGTTGCTAGTGAATTTCTGAAGCTTTTATAAATGATCGTACTAGATATCACAAAACAATAAAGCAGCTCCCAAATAAAGAGGATGTCAATGGCGGCATGCATTTATCAACTCGAGACAGACTAGAGTCCGTGCAGTTGACTTCAACTTATCACTTGCTGGGCGGAACCTGCTCGGCACTTCCTTCCAGCAGTTGCAGGGAGGTGCCCGCAAATGCACGGGTGAGGCTCACACACACGAGATTTTCCTCCCCTCTCTGATCTATCATACTCCCTGATTTGTATCTGCCTGGGCCCCATCTCTCGCCGAAGCTCCATGCCCCCTTCCCTGCCTCCCCACTCCCAGAAGCCACAAAAGGGCAGCTTTAAAAGACAACATTCTTCTGTTCGTCTCCCTTTATCTTTCCTGGGGACTTACTGCAGGGCCTCTGCTCCTGCCCTGCTGTCCACTCTATCTTCCTTTTCTCATCATCCCCGTGGGAGGGGCTTGTGATTCAAGCATGAAGGTTCCAAAGTTCTCCTGGTTGCAACAGACATCTCCTTTTTGCTTGCCCAATATCCATCCTCCTCCTCTTTCTGGAAAGAGCACTTTAATTTTCCTTTGAGGAGCTGCTTCTCTTCCTCTCCCAATACACACGGTTTGGGCAGGGCAGATCCAGACTCAGGCTCCAAAGACACATGACCTAGGCCTGGCCAACAGCACGTTCCACCCCCATAGACACAGAGGTAGGCAAGGATTGGCAAATGACCCAAGTCGTTATAAATACAGCCAAGGCAGGCCAATGACCTTTACCCCTGGGCTTTTGCAGAACCTACCAAGAAAGTGGTACTCCTTCTGCTGGGGTGGCTAAGGAAGTAAGCCAGAAGCTGCTAGGGGCATCTTTGCCACCACTTGGAGAGAACTTGATATATGGATAGAAACAGTCCCAAGACACCTGGATCCAGACCTACCTGAGGCACACCCTAGACACTGCCATCACATAAGTCCACAAATTATCAGTTTTTTTGGTTTTGTTTTTGCTTAAACCAGTTTGAGTGGAGATTCCATGACTTGCAACTGAAAGAATTGATTTGTACGAGGTTCAGGGAATGGTACATAACTGGTGTTGGGGAAACATTTCTAAGGGTTTCTATGTTTGTATATAAAAACAAAACTCACCTACATTCAAAAAGTATTTGAGGGAGCTTACCATATCTTAAACACGGTGAAGACAAAAATACGAGGTAGAATCAGGGAAGGGGAGAGAAATGTTGTTTGTTTCAAATAAATCTGACCTAGGGTGGCTACTGCCATTTAAAGCACCTGCCAAGTCACCATGGCAAAGAGGAAAGA